CATGTGCACAGACCCAGTGACACCTGGGAAGGGCCCGAGGCAGCACACTGCAATCCATTCCCAATGACAGGGGTCCACTGATGTTGAAATACAGAAGCCAGAGGTGAAGCCCCAAGGCAGCCCAGAGTCCGGGGAGCAGATGGTTAAACCTACTTGTCAGCACCCTCTTCCCAAGGCTTCGGCTCTCCCACAATGACCTCCGCTCTGTCCTCTCTGAGATGCTGGTTGAGGCCGTGCCTGTGCAGACACGTCCAGGCTTTGCCCACGTGCTGTCCCAACAGTGATTTTGTTGGTTGCCACTGCCCTCCATGCCTTTTCTCAGAAGGTTTTAGGCGGCCCTAGGAGCCCTGATGGTGCAGTAGTTATAAGTTGGGCTGCTAACTGCAAGGTCAGGAGCTTGAAACGTTCTGGAGAAAGAGGCTTTCTACTCCTGTGAAGAGTGATAGTGTCAGAAACGGGCAGGGGCAGCCCTACCCTGTGCTGTGGGGTCACTATGCGTCAGCATCCACTTGACGGCAGTTGAGTTTGGGTTTTGAGGGGGTCCTTTAGGGCACTTTTTCTAGGGACAGCTCATGTCAGCACCAAGTGAGGTAGAAAGACCCGAGATCAGGCCGCCAGCCCTGTGGGACCGAGGCTGGCCTCATGACTGAGCAGATCTCCACTGCTTTGGGTCTACATTTGGGAAGCTCCTAAATAAGGGGAGCTAAGCTGAGTGAAGGAGCCCTGGTGGCTTAACAGTTATGTGTTGGGCTGCAATTCTCAAGGTTAGCAGTTCAAAATGACCAGCCACTCCTGGGAATACGGGGCTTTCTACTCCCATCAAGAGTTAGTCTCAGAAAACCAGAGGCAGCTCTACCTTGTCCTATATGGCTCACTTTGCGTCAGAATCGACTCGATGGCAGGGAGCTTGGATGTTTTTGGAAGTTTTTGGAAGGTGGTCTCCTAGGCTCTCTGAGCTATGAGCTACACAAAGCTTAGTGTTGGACAAGGCCACAGGTTGGAGTTTGGATTCCATTACCTGGGTTCTTATACGTAGTTCTCCATTACCTGCTGCTGAGTGCTGTCCAATATAGCTCATGACCGCCCTCCATGAGTCTAGAACAGTCCCACTGTTCTCCAAGGTTGTCACTGTCGCAGAAGCAGACTGTCATGTCTCCCTCCTGTGGCATGACTGCTAAGTTTGAACTACCAACCTATTGCTTAGCAGCTGAGTGCTAACTACTGGGCAACCATTAAAAAAATTAAAACAGAAATAAAAAATCTCCTAGCAACCATCCTATGGGACAGGGTAGAACCGTCCCTGTGGGTTTCCGAGGCTCTTAACTCTTATGGAAGTAGAAAGCCGTGTCTTTCTCCCAAGGAGTGGTTTTGAACGGCTGACCTTGTGGATCACACAGCCCCACACCACTCCACCACCAGGGCTCCAGGTGCAACCAGTGGGTGTCCTTTGATCTATTGCGATCGGTGGGTTTTGTGCCAACTTGGCTGGGCCAGGATTCTCAGTGCCCTCATGACTTGACCTAACACATTATCAGAGTGATAATGTCAAACTAGAGTGGGATGCAACATCCTTTCTCAGATCATGGCAATGATGAAATCACTCAAAGTGAGTTTCCTTGGAGGTGGGGGGAGTGACCTGATTCTGATCTAAGTGAACACTCTTGAAAAGCGTGCCTGCTGTTTTGGCTGGGTCTGCATCCAGTTCTTTTGATTTGAGCCAATAGCCTGCCAATCCCGGGAGTCACCAGCAACCTACCATCTGACCTGCCGACAGTGGATTCATTTGCCTTTGCTGCCACTGGTCTGTCATCTCCTGCTGAACTTGAGTTCAGCCCTGAGGCCATCCGAGTCAGGAGAAGCCTCCCGCTTTACACCTGACCCAGACTTGGAACCGGACAGGACCTGGCCTTGCCTGTGTGAGCCATTTTCTTGTTCTAAATGTCTCTCTGTTGTTAGGGGCTATCCAGTTGGTTTCCACTCAGTGACCCCCGTGTGCAAGAGAATGAAGCACCGCCCGGTCCTGTGTCTTCTTCACAATTATGCTGTGTGAGCCCACGGCTTGTTTTCTTTTAATCATTTTACCGGGGGCTCCTACAACTCTTATCACAATCCATCCATCCAACCATTGTGTCAAGCACATTTGTGCATTTGTTGCCATCCTCATTCTCAAACCATTTGCTTTCTACTTGAGCCCTTGGTATCGCCTCATTTGTTTCTCCTCCCTCCCCGCTCCCCCCTCTCACGAACCCTTGGTAATTTATAAATTATTTTGTTATCTCTTACACTGTCCAATGTCTTCCTTCACCCACTTTTCTGTTGTCCACCCCCCATGGCGGTTATACTTAGATCCTTGTGATTGTGAATGCATGTTTTTTTGCAGCCATTGTGACGATCCATCGCATCAGAGGGTTTAGTGAAAAGGAGGATCTTCCACAAAATGGAAATTTCCCTCCACAGGATACAAGCGCCACTGGTTTTTCTTTAGTAACATTGCCTCAGACACCGATGTTCTATGCAGACTGGTCCTGCTTCTGTCTGAATCCCTTTGGGGCCTCAGAATTCTGTGATGCTCGCAGATGTTGACAGCCTGGGATTCTGCTGAGGTTGAGGCCTGCAAGTGATGGCAGCAATAGTAGTACAGGGTTCTGTTAAGTAGCTAGCTTAGGGACAGGGACGTGTCCCTCCCATGCCTGCTAAGGGCCCCATAGAGATGGTTGGAAGGAAAACCTGGCAACCATCAGATGCCTATGCAGACCCCAAACTGAGCATGCTCATACTCAAGCCCCTAAACCAGGTGGGAGGTATACCTGGGTGGGCCAAACTGGGCCCAGGCTCATGACATCACCCAGGTGGGCTTAACTTAGCCAATAGGGTCAACCAACACCATCAACCACACCTCCCCAGCCAGAGGCTTGAAATACCCTGGTTGTGGGCAGGCTGCTCTCTTATTTACTTTGCTCCTGGTCAGAGGCGGGGCTGCTGACACACGCGCCTGCTCCAGGCCTACTCGGGGCCACACGCCCTTAGCTATAGGTCTGGGGCTTCTGGCCTCCTGAAATGCCCACCCCCCCAAGTTCCATACATGTAGGAGTTCTTTTCCACGTGGTTGTGTCCAGTTGTGAACCCGAGTGGCTTCCGCGCGGCTTGGCATGCTTCCCAGAAATAGTATGTACCCTTTTGAAACTGACATCTGAAACTTGTCTTGTCCATCATAAAAACCCACTTGGATTACAAAACGGGCTTTGGCATGAATTCTTTCTGCGCGCAAAGCAAGAATGGAGGTTATTACCCACTCCAGAAACTTAACGGTTCCTTCTCAGGAAACAACAAAATCCCGAGAAATATACATTTCCAGAGCCTCTCCCAAATGCGCAGACTCTCTGGTCCCTGCACTTGAAAGCAGTAGTGGGGACCAGGTGGTATGGTATGGGAAGATACCTCATTTTCCCCACATTGCCTAGCACAGGCTCTGGAGAAAGCAGAAGGCACTCTGAAAGGAAAAAAGTAGGTGGTTCTCTTCAGGAAGGAGGAAGACACTCTCCCTCCTCCACCACACGCACACATCCTCTTTCAGGACAGGGCCCTGTACGGGGCTCTCCAGGCAGCCGGTCCCCTGGGAACTTGTTGAAAGGCAAACCTCAGCTCCACTTCCTCAGTCCAAACCTGGCCTCTAGGCCCGGCCATCTGCTTACACAAGGTCTCCTAGCCTTCAGCTAGGGAGCAAGTCAGTCAAGTAGGTCCGGAACTTTAGAAATCTCCCTAAATGTACTTGAGGCTCCAAGACTAGTTTAGGGACCCCTCCCCCTCCCCCACCACACTGCCATGGAGTGATGCTGATTCACAGCAACCCCGTAGGACAGGGCCAACTGCCCCCGTGGGTTTCCCTGACTGTCATGCTTTATGGGAGTAGAAAGTCCCATCTGTCTCCCAGAGACCCCAGAAGCTACTGCGAATCAGAAAACCCTCTTCTCCGTAACTTCCAATTCTTAGTAGCTGCCCCAAGGACCACAATACTTCCTTTTCCTCTTGGCCTTTTTTTCTCCATATTTTGTTCCTGATAAAAGGAATTTCCTTGCAGGTAGAATGCTGCAATTCTGAAGTCCAAATGGAATGTTCGAGCTTCTCCGAGAAACTGTGATAGGAATCTGAAAAGAAACCTAGGTTGTGCCACGTGGGCTGAGTAGAGCAGCCATGGAGGGGCACGGCTGGCCTCGTGGGTCCCGAGTGTGCACAGCTGGGCAGGGGAGCCAGGTGAGGGTGATCTTGGTAGCCATCTGCTACCTGGACCCTAAATGTGTGGAGTGGAGTGGAGCCACTTCAACTTGTCATCCAAGTCCACACCCTCTTCTTCCTTCGAAGCCAATCCCAAACAGACCAAAGAGATGTAAAAATGGGGACCAGCTGGAACCATATGGAAACAGGGAAGGGGCCAGGGAGCGGATTTTCGTGAGAAAGGTGAGGCCTGCCTGGGGGCGGGCTCTGCAGATGTGTCTCAGCAGGCCAGCTCTTCAATGGAGAAGGCTGCCTCCCCGTCGTCTAGCACGGGGGCATGTGGAATCCTCCCACCAAGCCCTCACTGGAACCTCAGATAGCTCGGCACTGGTGCCTTTTCAGGACAGGAAGGTGCAGGCGTTTGTGTGGGGCCCGGGGATGGCGAAAGGAAGCAGGGACAGTTTTTCACTGCGTCTCAGTTGCTGCCGAGGCAATTCAACGCAACCGAACAATTAGAAAACACCTTGCTCCCCATCTGCTGAAATGAGAGCCAGGTAGGCATCAGGGTCCCCTGTGCACTCCCCTTCCCCTCTGGTGAGTGAGAAGCAGCAGCTCTGGGAACCAGGGGGATCTGGGGACCTAAACAATCACTTGTGAGCAGGAGGGGAATTGCTACTATTTAGACCCAAAACTTAAAAAGGCTTCTGATCTAGAGAAAGGAGGAACGTGGAGACCCCAACAAAGACAGGCAGGGCTGGGGTTGCCCCACCAACACCAGTCTCAACAAACAAGGCTAGAAAATGAATTTATGACAACAACAATCCAGTATGACAAATCACCTGGTGTTTCCCTCCGACCCTGATAATGCCCAAACCATTCCGGCAAGTGTGGAGGAAGACCCAAGCAGTGTTAAAAGCTGCTCATTGCAAGAGAGTGCATCTTGGGGCACCCAGTATCTTCAAGGGCATGGAAGGCACTCACACACCAAGTCTACTCAAATAAGCTTCCCATGCGGCTTTCCTGTACATCTCGGCTGCTTCCAGACGATCCGCAGCTGACAGGATGCCTCGGCCCACGATGATGATGTCAGAACCTCGTTTGCCGATAACTTCTTGCGGGCTGTTGTACTGCTGGCCAAGATTATCCCCTGCAAAACCACAGGAGTTAGTTTAGCATAATATAGAAACGGAACTTATCTGGAAATGTTATCTAAGCAGCTCTGCCTACGGCTGTGTTCTTGCTTTGAATTCTCCCTCAGGAGCAGAGAAACAGGGAGGTCGCCCAGATCAAGGCTGCCCAGGGGAATAAGCAAAGTGGTCTGAGTAGTTGTGTAAACTGAGGACCCTGAGGTGCACAGCCCCAGCCTGTAACTACACCTACCCTGTGAAGAAGAGAAGTGGAAGGTGGGATCGAAAATCTCCTGTGCCCACAATGGCCACCTGTCACGCACAACCACCTGTGCAGGAAAAATAAACAGGCCACCCTTTCTTCCCCACTCAAAACCGGAGCGACGTTCCCGAGTCCCGGAGGACTGGGCCTTCACTGGACAGAAGACAATGAGAAAAGACCGCCTCTGCCTGCCTCAGTGCGGGGAAACTGGGCAGAGCCACCCCGAGAATCCCAACATGCAGCAGCAGGTCAAAGGCCCAGCCAAGCCCGGCAACCACACACAGATTAATTTTGGTTCATCTTGAGCATAGGGGTTCTTTTGAGGGACAACATATCCAGGATACTAGTTGGAAAACCCTAAACTATCACTTTTATGGGCTGTCTAAACTTTCATCCGACAATGAAGCTGTAGGCTGCTTTGTAAATCTAGGGGGGATCACACGGCCACGGGGCTGGTTCATCAGTTCTAGCCGGAAGCCTTTCTCCAGCACCTGGCTATAAATAAGCACATTCGATTTTCCTGTCTTGAGTCTGAATTATGACTGAGAAACGGATTTACCTCCTGTTTGTAATTGAACTCCCGGAGTCAAATGAAGGAATTCTGGTTTGGTGCTCACTCGGGTGCCAGAAATAAAGCCCACCACAAACTCAGAATGCTCCTCGGCCATTTTAACCTAAAAGGAATGTAACCGGGCAGGTTGTAAGACAGCAGTTAATCACACAGAATGACACAGAGCTCCGCCAGCAAACCAGCTACCTTCCCAACGGGCTGGAAACGGCGCTATTTTATCCATGCCCATTTCTCACGGCCCACTGCCTGTGACCGCCTTCTGTCCGAAACAGGCCATCTCCGGCACAGCCTGGCTTTGAGAAGACCCCGAGATGACCCTATTCTGCCCCACCTCCCAGCTGACCCCCCTCAAAGCACTCGACTTTCTCTACTGGCCACCCCAAATCGAGGCAGGCTCTGCACAAGTACTCGTGGTAATACTTGGCCTCTGAGCTGTTTCCGGCAAGGGCTTGAGGTGAGCACGCTAGAATACACTAACATGGTATGAAATCACATTCAAGCGCTAAAGCAATCTCCTTTCCATTTTCCTTGCCTCAACTCCGGTACTTCTCAGATTCAGTTTCCCTGGGAGGCCTGGCTTGCTTTCTGATTCGGCTCTTCCACGAGACATTCCTTGTTCCACCCCTACCACCAAGGAGGGCCACCTACAAACCAGGGATGTCCTTGAGGCAGGGAGGGTGGTATTTGGACTGTCTATGTGGCTCTTAAAATCTGTTAAATGTCCACTACAAGTTATCAAATGCTATTGGCTAGCAGGGGACTCTGGCTAACTAGCACGAACATACTGTCACCCGGAAAAGGATTCCGTCCCCCCACCCCCACCAGGTGGCAGACCCGGAGAAGACCGTCCCTCCCCTGCAGTCTCTGCTGCTCACCACTGCGTCGGTGTAGTCCCCCGTGGCTAGGGAGCCCGCGGAGCTCATCTGGGCGATCAGCAGGCACCCTCGCTGGAGGGGCAGGCCCACTTCTCCCAGGCCTTTCACCACGCCCGAGCCCGGCACTGCATGCACAGTTACTACATCTGCCCAGGAAGCGATCTGAAAGACACCAGCTAAGAAAGAAGAGGTTGTTATCGGCTAACTTTCAAACAAAGACATTCACCACTGTCCAAGCCCACTGCCTGCAGCGGGAAATAACCTTCTGGGAGGCATGAGAGAAACGGTCTAACACGGGAGGACTGCAGACCCCTGTCACTGTCCACCTGAGGGCTGCTTGGTCAGGGAGGTCAACTCTTTCAGGTTCCGAACTTCGCTTCGTAGCTACACGGGTAAGACTGTTCTTTCATGCAAGCTAAAGTCTGTGACCTCTGATCAAGCTTACAATCAGAAACTGAGTGCAGTGAAGATGGGCATTTGGCGGGGGGCGGAGGGGGCGGTCAGAGACATCAATACTCAGAAACTCCTGATGACACATTTTTATTGTGCTTGGGTTTCTCAACTTTACTCTTCTCTGGTTCTAATGTGACTTCTTAGGAGGCCTGGTGGCATAGCAGTTACTCATTGAGATGCAAGGTCAGCAGTTTGAAACTACCAGCTGCTCTGAGAGATGGGGCACTTTCTACTCCCACAAGGAGTCGCAGCCTCAGAAACCCACAGGAGTAGTTCTACTCTGTCCTATCAGGCCACTATTAAGTCCACACCAGTGAGGTTGAGCTTGAGTATCAATTCCTTAGCTCTTTAAATGCCGGCAGACCACTGGATTCCTTTTCATAGCTGATGGCAGTAACTTTAATGTTTGAGACTATATTCAAACCTGAAGTCTGTCTGTCCGTGTCAGCCAGTGAGCTGTGGGAATGATGGTCACACGCACTCTGTGCCATGGAGTCGATCCCAGATTCCAGCTTAGTGACCCCCTAGCACTGGGTAGAGCCGCCCCTCAGGGTTCTGAGACTGTAAATCCTTAAGGGAGCTGGCACCCTCATCTTTCTCCTGTGGAGTGGATAGTAGTTTTGAACTGCTGACTTTGCAGTTAGCAACTCAATGTTTAATTCACATGACAGCTTCTAGTTACGAAGCAGAATGCCATAGCCCAACCTATCTTAAAGAAACAGTTTAAAAACATGCATGAGTGACGTCATTAACAACTCAAGGGGCTTCAACAGATGCTGACCAAATGTTAGACAACAGAACAGGGTGTCTGTTGCTAGGTGAAGTGAAGAAAGCCTTGTACCTGTGTAGCTTAGATTCCTAGTTTCTTCTGGTCTGACTGGCTTTTCCCCGAGACTCATCTACTCCTCCATTCTTGCTGCCAAGCACACCCCCTACCAATACATAAGAGAGGCTTCAACAAGCACTGGTGGGAAATCTCCCTTTTCTCTTAGTTCCAGTTTCCCACAAACTCTTTGAAGCACCTTGTATACATACAATTTAATCTGTGCAGAAATCGACAGCCATTTCTACGGAGACCGTCCCTATACAACATGGGGCCTACCTTGAGTATTTAGTGGACATGAAAGTAAACTGTCTTTTGTGGAAATAAAAAAATGTCTATCGAAAGTTTTTTCCCTCCTACTGAATATGTAGCTTAATTTTAGATTGACTGCGCTTTGCTGGTTTGGAAAATACTCAGAACACATGGTGTGCTGCCAGAGCCTGTGACTCGGGCCTGCCTGGAACTCAGGCCTTCCGTCTGCTACCATTTTCTACCAGGAAACGACCTCTCCTGTTTTCAGTCCCAGAGTCTGTAACAGGTAACAAGCTCCCATGGGGAGGATGGAGCACGGCTGGGTAAGGCATGCCAGGGCATGGGGGTGGGGGTGGGGCCAGCACATAGCACGCACCTGCTCAAGAAAAGTCAACCAAGAACTCAGAGCCGGGGGAGGGAGAGAACAGAACCCCGCAAGACCCCACTGGACTTTGAAAACCTGCTCCACGGCTGGACTGGTTATGGGAGCCGACACCTCTCCTGCCCACTTTTGCCCCTTTCACCTGGGCTTCTCATCTACAACTTGCCTTCGTATTGTTTTTTTACTGTGTTGCCAATATCTGCAAATTTCCGGTCTTCAAATATTAAAAACTCATGACGCCTTGCCAGAGCTGACAGCTCCTTCATCACATCCAGAGTGAAGTCGTTCAGAATATCCACGTGAGTCTTGAGCAGGCAGATGCTGGGTCCTAAGGCATCGGCGAGCTGCAGCAGCTCCCTGGCCTCGGAGACATCGGCAGACAGACAGAGATTGGTCTCTTTCTTCTGCATTAACCGGAGAAGCCCCGCTGCGATGCGGTGGGTCCCAGGCAGCTCTGCCCGGGCTGCGAAGCTCAGTTCTTTGGGTGCTTTTGGTACGGAAGGGGGCGCACTGCCAGGCACGAACACATTCTCCTGAATGAACCTCTTCACTCGCCCGACCATCTCAGCGTCGAGCTTCTGCTGCTGCTCAAGGATCGCCAGCACTTTGGACAAGGTGCACACGGCGTGGAGACGAATCCCGTGCGCCGCCAACATCTCCTTGCCCCCCTGCTCTCTGTCCAGAAGCACTATGGCATCCGTGACCTTGAGGCCCTCCTTCTGAAGAACCTCAACGGTCTCCAAGACACTGGAGCCGCTGGTGACGATGTCCTCGATGACCAAACAGGTTTCTCCTGGATTCACGGCTCCTTCCACAAGACGCTTAGTGCCTAGGGAAGAGCAAGTTGGTTTCAATTAATAGGTATTTTCACACCTAAATATATACATATAAATTTACAATTCTTTTTTTTTACAAGTCTTACGTAAACTATAAGGCGTTCTAGTGGCACTGGTAGGTAAGTGTTGAGGGCTGTTGACCACAAGGCCGGCAGTTCAAACCCACCTGGTGCTCATGGATGAAAGACTTACAGACCCAGAAACCCTACCGGGCAGTTCTAGCTACTCTGTTCTCTTGGGAGGCTATGAACTGGAGTTGAATGAGTGGTAGTGGATTTGGTTTGGATGTAAACATGAATTACAAGTAGTTATGTAATGTGAAGCATATATGCCAAAGCAAGCTCTATCTTGCCTTATACATTTGGCACGTAGCTATGAGGATATGAATGATATCAATTTATTTCCCACTCATCCATTTGGAGTTCCTTTCTCTTTCTTTATCATCTTCAATGTGCCAGGATTTCTATTTTATTTAGTGTCTGTGTCCCCAACTCAGCAGCATGCACAGCACTCGCAGTAAACCTAGCACACTGTTTTACATACAATGCACATAGACAGTGTTCAGTGAGTTTTACAATCCAGTTTTCAAGTCCAGGTTTTCTTGAAGCATGATCCCTGAGCAAGGAATGGCGCCATCCAAAACAAACAAACAAACAAACAAACAAACAAACGACATCAATCTCAGGCAGAAGCAAAGAGTCTAACAGGATCAAAATCATGCATCCGTCACTTTTAATTTACCATAGTCCTTTTTCTCTTTCCTTCTAATAAGCATTGGAATTTGGTTGGTTGAACACAGAACTGTGGCCATTGGCAAAGCTGTGTAAGGCACTCCACATACAGTGTCAAAACTGATCTCTGCATTTCGGGCAGTTTGAAATAAAATATCTGCGACCTGTTTAAAAACAAAACAAAACCCCCAAACATATCTATTATTAAAATGTTTTCAACAGTGTTTCAATCATGAGGAGAAACGATAGGACATCAGAAATAGTAATATTCTATTGGGAGTCATTCCACCCCAGACAGAAATACAAACATCTTTTTAAGATCACTTCTAATCAGTTTTACTTGGCTAGACTCGACGGAGATTTGCTCTGAGGACACGAGATGTTGTAGATCAGGATGAGGATTCCTACGATCGAGGTCCTCCCATGCCCCCTGATCACAGCAATGCTTTCTTCCTGGAAGATGTCTTCAATCGAGATGCTTCACAAGAACAGTGCCCACGGTGGGAAGTCTTCTTTTTATAGTCTCCTTTTCCACACGAGCCATCACTGAAGGGCAACCTAGGTGCCTCAGTGCTAACTCCCACTTTGGAGCTGTATCAGGAGAGGCCAGTCCCTGGAAAAGGAAGCTGTGCTTGGTACAGGGGCAGGGAAAAAGGCGGCCTTTGCCAAGATGGATTGGTACCATGGGTCCACCATGAGAACAATTGTGAGGACCAGGCACTGGTTCTCCACAGAGCCGCTGCCACTTGGCACCATCTTGACACTTTAACAACAACATCATGTGCTTAGCGAGCTGGCCTTCGAACTCCAAGTTTGGAGGAAAGGGAGAAAACCACAGCCTTGGATACCCGATGCCATGGAGCAATTCCACTCTAACCATTCCCACGAAAACCAAACCAATGCATAAAGCTTCTGGGCAATGAAAGAGGAGACGCCGAGTTTCTTGCAAAGCACGTGTCCCAGCCCATTCAGAAAAAATCCAGGGCGGCTTCAAAAAGTTTGTGGAGAAATTCCATGACCTTTTAATCCCATTTCTCCACGAGCTTTCTGAAGCCCCCTCTAGGGCCTCAAGACCGAAATACCCTCCGCTGTGCGTGTTGCTGAGCCCCGCTTCCCGGGCTGACGGTCGGGTGTGCCCGCCGGCTGGGCTTGGGCGCTCACCCACCGTTCGAGTCCTGCGGCCCCCTCCCCCAGCCCCGGGCCCCTTTCCCAGGCAAGCACCTGACTCAGGAGACGCGGCCGAGAAACGATGCCCCGCAGGTCAATGTAGACGGGGGAGGACAGCCCGCTTTTCAGCACGAAGTCCCCGAACTTGAAAGCCTGCACGTCGTACAGACAGGTTACCAACGGCGCCAAGGCGACAGGGGTGGCCGCCATCGTCGCACGTGGCCGGCTGGCTCCGAGAGCCACCGCGCGCGCCCGGCCCCGGCGCGCCGATGACGTCAGCCGCGAAGCCCCGCCCCGCCCCAGGCTTCCGGGAGGTGTGGCGCGCTCGCCTTCCGGTGCGCCGCGGGCTCCCGGAGCGCAGCGCTGGGGCGGCCCCGCTCCGTCGGTGTTCGCCGGGCACGGTCCCTGCAGGGAGTTGAGTGGACCGATTCTGGGATCGTGAAGTCTAGCCTCTCCAGAGAGTCCATCTGAATCCTGACCGTATTCTGTAGCTTCCCTTTGCGCCAGACGTTTTTCAAGTCCGTGATTCCTCTGCGGGGGTTCGAACGACCGAAATCCTATTCTTCAGACTAGCATCTCGTTAATGGCCCGTTATTGGCCCTTACTTTCTCAAATGGAATAAAAATTCCAGAAGGCAGGAACCCTTGCTCACTTATTAACTCAACAGCATCTAACACAGCACAATTTAGTAAGCAGATTGCACGTAGCACGATTAAAGTGCCTGCCTGGCAGATGTTACTGCATCCGCTGGCTCAATGCCTGGAGTCTCCGGAGGAGGTATGTGTGTTCATTAGCACTAGAGTATCGCAGGTGTTCGGGAACATGAAGGGTGTTTAGCGGATGGGGAAGGAAGAAAGGGAGTCTCGGGATGGATTTATCACTATCAAAGTAATCAAGAGGATAAACTTTCTAGCCAATCGGTCAACCCAAGCATATTTAGTCTTTAGAAAACCCTTAAGTTGGAGACATTTCCCATTATGTGTAGAGTAAAATATATGATTCAAATGCACCAAATGGATTCTGATTTCATTTCTGTAATGGTTTCCTTTTTTATGATTATAGTTTTTTAAATCATTTTATTAGGGGCTCATACAACTCTTATCACAATCCATACATAGATCAATTGTGTAAAGCACATTTGTACATTCTTTTTTTTTTTTTTTTACATTTGTACATTCATTGCCCTCATCATTCTCAAAACATTGGCTCTCCACTTAAGCTCCTGGCATCAACTCATTTTTCCCCCTCCCTCCCTCATGAACCCTTGATAATTTATAAACTATTATTTTGTCATATCTTACACTGTCTGACGTCTCCCTTCACCCAATTTTCTGTTGTCTGTCCCCCAGGGAGGAGGTTATATGTAGATCCTTGTCATCGGTTCCCCCTTTCCACCCCACCCTCAATGGTTTCCTTTCTTTGAAGAGTCTCCTGGTCAGCCCATGTGAAGAGGCCACACTTGACATGTACGTGTACATGCAGTAAAACCTGGATGAAAGAGCTAAATGTTCAAATGTTTTTGCCCATATTGCCAAAAGTGTCCATCCCTAACCTAACACTGTGGCTAATTAACAGTGTACGATCGTCTCATTTGCACTTGGGCAGCACAAGCTGACTCACTGAAGCGTGATCCTTTCTCCATAGGTTTGCCAGGCCCCTGGGTTTCATACCACAGTGCAGCAACTTGTGAGGCCCAGCCCAGATGACCTGCCAACCATCTGAAGACATCACTGCATAAAACACAGAATGGCATCAACACCAGACCCGAGGCTTCCTTTCATGGTTTTGATAGGGAAATGCCCCAGAGTCCTTCTCTGGGGCACAAAGTTACCCTTGATGGGAAAAAAGCTGTATAATAATGGGATGCTTTCAGCTCCCTGGTATCTGGGGGAGGAGAGGGAAAAAATTACTCTTTTCATGGAGTAAAGGTTTTAAGTAGGAAAAATAGACACTAAATAACAATGAGCAGAACAAATATCTTTAGTGTAGTATATTTATAGGAATGCATAACATGAGATGTACACTTTGAAGCTTCTTCCATAACTTAGAACATTTACTGTTGTAATAACAAGACAGCAGGTTGTCACTTTACAGCATGACACATGAGTGATTTTGACTTACAAATAAAATATTTACAGCCCACCTTTACAAAATGACATCGTGTGGATACAAAATGAACGACTGCAGAAAAATTGAAAAAGAACAGAACAACCAAAAAACCCGGAGGATACACTTAAGGCAGACCAGCAAGACACTGAAATAATTAAGGCTGTGGAATTCTTCTGCACCTTGAAAACAGAGGGCTATTTATCAATACTGTGGAGTTGTTTTAAGATTGTTAACAAGCCTGATGGATGCATGTGTTTATATGTATATGTGTACTGGTCCCTATGGGGAAACCTGTCCACTTATGGATAAGGCCTTTTATCAGTATGGCCAGAAGAGCTCACCCATAAACTCTTAAGAGACATTGGGATCACTCAAAATTAGCAGGTGCTGTTACAAACCCATTATTAATAAATCAAATAGAATGATACTTCTGGCTCCGGTTAAATTGAATAAACTAATAGAGTTCCATTCTGATGTTTCAGGCTCTGTAAACTTGGCTTTGTGGATTTCAAAAAACAGCACATAAGTTCCCAAGAAAGTAGAATTTGTCCCAACTCAAATCAGCCCCAGTGGTTTTGAATGGCTCTCAATGGTTTTCCCACTGAAAAAAATTGACCCATCTCAGCTGTCTGCAAATGGATAGATTTCTGCATATGAGCAATAACATATACATACATATTATACACTATATACATGTACAGATGTACACATCTATATTTTCCAACAGTTTGCACGTTGGTCACTACTGTTCTCTGACTGGGATCTCATTCTGAAGAGTAGTTCAGTTTATTTGCAGTCTTCACGTTTGTCCTGCTCCTTTTACCCCTTTCCCCATAGAGTAGGCCGACATTTGGCAGAAACAGAAGTAAAAGCACCAGGGTCCAAAAAAAATCACAGAGACGACAGCTTATGGCTTCAGTTAGTAAGAGAACAGGTTGGTTTTGTGGACTTCAAACTCATAACCAGAGTCTCTGAGGTCAAATGCTACCAGTCCCCATAGTACTTCAGAATGGACTTACTTCTTGATGCGAGTCAGGCACTGAAGGAATTCCTGTGTTAGCTGTTAGCAAATTGGCTTGGTTCTATTGAGCCTTGGGAGTTGGGATTTGTGGCTTTTGGTCATTCTCCCTTTTCTCGGCCATCCTTGCTGTCCCAAATACCACTTATCCAACCAAAGCAAAAGGACAAACTTCATCATCAGAGTAAGTCTGACAACATTTTAGAAACTTCCAGCAAATAGGCAGATGGGAAAATACAGTAGCCCATGAGCATGGATTTCAGGTTTTCTGTAAATATCCCTTGGTGATGGAAAGTTGTATACAGTAATGGCGTAACCCTCACCTCTAACTCCGGCATAAATTAAAAATGAAGAAGAGATGCTTTTCATAGGAAGTATGGCCATAGGATGGGAGTCCTGGTGGCATAGTGGTTATGCATCAAGCTGCGATCTGCAAGGTCAGCAGTTCAATACCACCAGCCTTTCTGATGGAGGAAGATAGGGCTTTCTACTGCTGTAGAGAGTCAGTTTTGGAAACCCACAGGGACAGTTCTACCCTGTCCTGTAGAGTCCCTGTCCGTCAGTATAGACTGTGGCAGTGAGTTTTGAGTTTTCTGGCCATAGGGTATTTCTGTAAATTTCTTTGCAGGAGTAACAGCACCTGTTAACAATGTCTCGTGCTGGACACAGACTCCCCCTCCTTTAACCCTTCAGAAGTCATGAGAGTACAGAGAGCCACAGCATTTTCAGAAAACAACATCGGAGCTTCCCTTTTGTGGTGGTGAAGCGTGTATGGACTCTATCGTACCCTACTCTCCCAGGGTTTAATAGTTCATCGATCCCTAGATTTGAAATAATTAGGAACATTTCTATTGCAGCAGAGAAAGCTTGCACACCATGTTTTCCTAACTCAGCCTCCAGAGAGAGCCCCCCACTCTGACACCTCCACCCCAAGATGGGAACAAGGCCCACACGCCTCCCCATTGGCCCCCTGGATAAGGACGAGGTCAGTGTGTACTTGGCTCGACTGTTTTGCGTGGGACAGAGTTTTAGTGCGTACACAGAAATGACCACTCTTCTGTTCATAACCTATTTGCTCCTAAATTTCCATGCTCTTCCAAGTAGTTAAGAACAAAGCAAGGACCAGTGGGTGGCACGACATCATCCTGACTGTGGGAAAGCAGCTGTGCGCTCGGCAAAGGCCTGAGCATCGGAAAGAAAGAAAGTCAAGGTTCTCTTCTCTCCCATTATCAACGGTTCAATTCAACGATATCGACTTTGCCTCTCGTCCTGTCAGGCTGTGAAGCTCAGAAGGGCCTGTGGTCTCAGAAGAGCTCTTACTTTCATGCCTGCCCTTGAAGTGAGGAAATTCAGTTCTGCTGTTTGGGTTCTACTCTGCCCGCTTTTCTAGGACATGAGGCCTGCAGAGGGCGTGCTGGGGGCTTTGGGGAGCCTCTTGGTTCTCATGGCTGCTGTTGGGGAGAACAGTCATGCTGGTCGGACTCAGCTCTCCTAACCCTGTTATGTAGAGTAGCTTTTAAAGGATCAAAATAAGGCCCAATCACATGTAGACCATGAATACCTTGTCCCTCTAAGGAAAAGCCATATACAGATTTTAAATCTTAGGAGTTTGCACATGGTATCTAAAGATGTGAATATTGAAAACCTGGAATGTTCAAAGTTACTATCAATCATAAAATCCGTAGCACTGGCAGTGTGTAGCACTTAAAAAAAAAAGTACTTATAGGCATTCAACTATGGTATTTTCTCAACATTCCTAAGAGATTAATGTCTTCCCTCTTTTCTCCCTAACTCCCATTTTACCAATGGAGACATTTGGGGCAGAAAAAGCCAAGACTGACTTTCTGTAAGAAGGATGAATCTGGAATAGCTGAGGTCAACTCACACATTCCTGGCCTCAACCTATCGTCAGAGGCTTCCTGTCAAACACATTTAAGAAAAAGAACGAACGAAACGTTGAAATGTCCACTCAATCTACATACAATGAACTTCTTTATCTCCCATCCTCCTCTCTGAAAGGCACTACTATTTATAAAGGCTTATGAGCCACAAAGCATTGAGGCCGCCTTCCCCTCTCCTTCCCCTGCTCCCATGGAGACTGATCGTTTATGGCTGTGAGACCTGAAAGACGCCTCCAATATTACTCATTTTAATTTTTTCTCAATCTTTCTTCTGTTCAGCTCTGAGTCAATATAAATCTACTTAATTTGGTGTATGTGTGGGGGTGGGGGGGAGATGTATGTAAAAGAGGCAATAAATTGTACTTTTTTCTTATTATATGGGTTGTCGCTGATCTTTTCCTTCTTTATATATCCCATCCTTACCCAAAAGGGAATGAAACAAAATAAAGTGACGATATGTGATGAATGTAAGCCACGCAAGGAACTTGTGACTTTAATCAACATTATTTTTCCCCCCAGTAAGACTTGAAATATCCTCTCATTCCTGGTTAAGGTATGACTTCAAGAACTGTCTAATCAGAAATGGAATACTTTCTCCTCTCTCCAACTCTTAGCCACCAAGTAAGGGACATCTCTCTGTTCAGGGCAAGTGAAAGCGAATTTCCCAGATCCTTCTGCCCTGGTGACAACTGCCCGCAAGAGCAACCTAAATGGATGATAAGCACCCCCATCTGAGCGTCCTTGGTCCTTTCAACTTGCTGAGGAGGCGTCTTGAACCAAGGCCATGGTCGTATTGCTTTTGGGAATGGCCAGAAGCTTTGCAGACAAGCAGCCTGCTTGCTAATTCTCTCGAGCTATCAAACTATAGAAAATATATCCCCTTTCTCTCAGGGCCTCTATGCAGTTCATTCTATTCTCATGATTCCATTTTGGCTTCAGTGAACAAAATCCTATTCCATTGTTATTTCTTTGATCCTCCACTCCTCTCGTTTGTAGCGCCTCACTTTTTCCAGGGAGTGTTCTCAGCGGGAGGGGAGCTCAGGGAAGCTCCCAGCTCAACTTGGACGTGGACGGACGCTTCGACTGGAATGTTCGCCGGCTGCACTCTCAACAAGCACTCCCGATACAGCCATGGCCCTACCCCTGAAACTCGAGCGGAATCGGAATCGCAGCCGGCCACCTACATGGTCATAGAAACTCGAAAGGGCTCAGCAGATGGCTCTTCAGTCATCCACAGTGGACAGACAGACCTCGCCTAGCCACGGATGGATTTTTGGATTTCTCATCGTCTACAATCCAGCCCATGACAAGCCCTCTGGGCCAAGTGTCTTTCTTATCTGCTATATACCACAATGCAGACATGTTTACTAAAAGGCTTTGAGTAAACATGTTTTAAATTTTACATATTTCATCAGAGTATTTGTACATACATACAGCTTCGAATGAAGAGCATGGAGGATTAGTGGAGAGAGCTTTGAACGAGTTAGACCTGGTAGCTCAGGGCCATTCAAACACTAGGAAACAAATACAGTCTGAGTCGGTTTCCACATATTTGGTTCATCCCAAAATACTAAGTGCTAGCTAGTCTTATTGCTTGTAGGTCCTATCAATATCAATCAATATAATCTTGGATGAGGCGGGGCGGAGGGTGGATGAAGATGGCAACGTTCAAATCCACGGGGAAGGATGAGTGGTTTTGAATCTGCATTTCCCTGGGGCATGAGGGGCTTTTCTGTAGGAAAGCCAGGCTGCTGTCCGCCTTCTCATCCCCATGTCCACAGACGGGTCATTCTAGTGTCTGCTTCGCAGACTCCGCTCGCACCCCGTGCAGGAGAAGACGGCTTGGCCCTCCTGTGGGCGAGTAGCAGTGCCGTGATCTGGACAAACACTTGAGTGATAGTTGAAGATATTTTCTGCAAAATGCCAACTTTCAAAACATCTTCTAGAAAACAGGGTGGATCATATGCAAGCTCAAACACAAACCTGCCCTCCCCCTCCAAACAAACAAGCACACACACACACAAAACAACAAAAAACAAATGCCCTAAAGTGCCCATTTTTCTTTCTTTTTTCCCCATGAGGAAAACGAGGGCAGTTATGAATAATCTGCGTGCGGAGTATACAGCTGAGAGCAGCGTAGGCCTCAGAGTCGAATTCATCCTCTTCGTCCCGCGCGATCCCAACCGCTGCGTGGTGGTGGGTGCTGCAATCTCAGTTAAGGTTCGGTGTTCTGTTAGGGTGCTGTGCCAGGTTTTGCTCCCTGGCTTCAGAAAGGACTTGGGACCAGGCCTTTATCAAAGGCCTGTATGGCTGCCTCCTTTTGGTAAGCACCCCTTAGCTTCAAGAAGGAGTTAGAAATAAAGCAAGCCAACTTTCCGAGGACCGTATTCTACAGTTGTAGAGAAAAAAAAAAAATCAGAAAGCCTTAGTGTTTTATTCATCGGAACTGCAGGAAAGGTTTCCACGTGTTATCCTCATTGACGATTCTCCCACAACGCTGACTATATTCGGACTGACTTCCCGGCAGGCTTTCACAAGGGTGGACTGGCTGAGCTGCAGTGAATGGGGGCTTAGCTTTTCCTTGGCAGAGCCTCTGTGAATTAATCACCTGTGACAGCGAGGAGAAATCTCGTTCACAGAGCGTAAAAGAGGGTCGTTGCTTCCTCCTAATGCACAGGTTTTGGTACAAGATTTCTGTACAAGACTTATAAAATGCTCTAAAAAACGTGTCGTCATCGAATTGTGCTTAGTCAAAACACTGTCCTGCCTCAGTAAATAAACTGCCGTCTTCCCCAGAGCACTCCAGGCATGTCGGATGGACTTCATCGCTCTCTATATTATAAAACGCTGAAACCTGAGTGGGATATATCACACCGGGCATGTGCAGATGCATCCTGTTAGGAAAGGCTAGCTCAGGCATCCGCCCGGCAACAGTTGACACACATGACATCTCTGTGAGATCAAGCTTTGGGCTTAAAATGACAGCCAAGGTGGAAACCCTTCTTAAGTCACTCGCATGGGCTGAAGGTTTGTTCCAGTTTGCAATTCAGGGTGAATAATTTTGTAACAGCTCATTGAAGTTTCTTGCTCTCTTCAACCCCACCCCCACCCCACCCCAATCCCCTTGATCATTTCTGCCTCTCTCTCTCTCTTTTCTTCCACGCCCTCTTCCGGAAAGCCCCCCAGGATTCGGGCGATTTCGACTGCTGTTCCAAACCTGCATTGCCAGTGGAAAGGTTTAGGGGTGCATCTCTCCGTGCGGAGGGCTGCCCGAAGAGACGCACCAACCGAGAACTATTTACAGACACCTTCCGTCTCGCTTTGGCTCCCACCGCAGGTGGCTGTGGACCCTCCGGGCTGGGCCGACAGCTACGTCCCCTGGTTCACTCGGTTGACGACGTAGCCCTTGACGTTGGGCACGGGACGCACGTCGTTCTGGTGCTTGCGGCGCTCCAGGAAGCCCGCCAGGCGGGAGGTGTCCAGGGGCACTTTGGAGTAGCTGCCGTTGTGTGGCTGCAGCCAGGGATGCTGCAGGCAGGTGGCCGCCGTGGGCCGCCGCCGGAAGTCCTCCTGCAAGATCACGTTGATGAAGTCTCTGGCCGCATTGCTCACGCCGCAGAAGTACTCGTGGGGGAAGCTGAAGTCCACCTTGCACACATTGATGCACGTCTCCTCTTTGCTCTCGTCCAGGAAGGGGGAGACCCCGCTCAGCATGACGTACGTCAGCACCCCGATGCTCCAGATGTCCGTGCCGAGGGACACGGGGATGCCTTGGATGACTTCGGGGGCAGCAAACTCGGGGTTCCCCAGGAGGTGGTGGATGTGGAAGTGACCCGAGATCTGGACGGCATCCTCCAAGTCAATGAGCTTCACGCGAGGCACTGGGATCCGGAGGTCGATGAGCAGGTTTTCCGGCTGTGGAGACCCAAGAGGGCAAGGGCAAGAGAAGGCAAGGTCAGCTCGCTCTTTGGACTTAGCAGCGGCACAGCCCCGAGGTCAAGCCTAGTTTCGGCTACTTTTCGATAAAACCTGTACCTGTGCTCTGGTACCTAAACGACGGTTTTCCCAGGGGCACTCAAAATGATTGAAGGTGATTTCCTATATTCCAAATGTCTCTACATCATAAAGGAGGCCTGCTAGTGTGGCCGGTCCGTGCTGGTCAGCTCGCTGAAACCACCAGGCAGTCCCAGGGAGAAAGATTTAGCTTTCCACTCTGGGAAAGAGTTACGGTTGTGGAAACCCACAGGGGACAGTCTACTCTGCCCTCCAGTGTCATTCGTGGAAACCCACAGGGGACAGTTCTACTCTGTCCCCCGGTGTCGCTCGTGGAAACCCAGAGGGGACAGTTCTACTCTGTCCTCGGTGTCGCTCGTGGAAACCCACAGGGGACAGTTCTACTCTGTCCTCGGTGTCGCTCGTGGAAACCCACAGGGGACAGTTCTACTCTGTCCTCCTTTGTCGCTCGTGGAAACCCACAGGGGACAGTCCTACTCTGTCCTCGGTGTCACTCGTGGAAACCCACAGGGGGCAGTTCTACTCTGTCCTTGGTGTCACTCGTGGAAACCCACAGGGGGCAGTTCTACTCTGTCCTCCTTTGTCGCTCGTGGAAACCCACAGGGGGCAGTTCTACTCTGTCCTCCTTTGTCGCTCGTGGAAACCCACAGGGGGCAGTTCTACTCTGTCCCCCGGTGTCGCTCGTGGAAACCCACAGGGGACAGTCCTACTCTGTCCTCGGTG